TTGTTTTCTGCTGAGTCCTGCTCATAATACTCTGGATACCTGTGACGAGAATCATGATTACTTTGACCTTTTTGATTTATTATTTTTTTAAATTCAGCTGTGGTGCACTCTGCAAGAGAGAGGGTTCACTGTTGAATGAACTTGTCTATATCGCATCTACCAACATGAGTAACCTCATGGGTTGATGTGGACCGTCCTGCTTTGCTTTGCCACTGTATTTTGCTCTGTGCCTGTCTCTGTTTAGAGGAGGGAGGAGCTGCACTCCTCTCATACACACACACACAGCTGAGTAGAGGATGTGAAAGATCACTCCACAGTGCAACAGTCAGCCAGTAACAGAGCCTGGATGAGCAGTTTATCAAACAGCTGTTGGACAAACACAACTTGCAGAAATGTGATGTCTACACCACTTTGCCCACAGTCCACTCACTGAAGTCCCCATTGTACCCCTACATGAAGGAATGGATGTCTGTCGTGTATCGTTTTTCTTGAATAACTTTCAAACTGATAATATTATCAGCATCATTCCAAATGCCAGCAGTAGGTTTTCATGGTCAAGCTATCACATTATGAAGGTCAGACTGTCATGGGAATATTGCTTTTTGGGCATTTTGAGGAAACATACTTGTCCCTTGGCAGAGGTTGCACTCTTTGAGTACTGTCTAGTTTCTGTGTTTTGTATCTGTGCCACAAAAGTCACAACTGGACTTGTTCTACTGATGCTGTGGTTTAATGTAACCAGTCATATGTTGACAGTGTTGTGATTGCCATGATTTTAAATAAGAATATGTATATAAAAGTATTTGGACTACAACCTTCAGTTGTCTGATTACTTTCAATACATTCACACCACAGGCTCTAATATTCAATTCCAGTCTTTTACTCAGATCCAGTCCTTTTCTGTTCATGGTTCACATTCATGTGAAGTGGCATGTATCCTGCTTTTGAGGTGAACTGGCACACTCACACAGATTAACTAAATGTGAGATGTGTATAACAATAGCATCATTTGTGTGACAGTCAAATTGCATAATTTCCTAAACTGTTATTTTTATTGGTCTGTGATGAGCTGTCATTGAATGATGATGACAAGCAATGTGCACATTGAACCCCCCCACCCCCACGATTTGGTTTGTTCATACATCCATGAAAAGATCAGATCTGAGCCACTTGGAGGGAAAGAAATTGGATTTGAGTCACTTCAGCCAGTTAGGTGAATGTAGCATTTGTGACCCTCGTGTTGTAGACAGAAACAAGACTAAGCTTTTACTTCATGAGGTGCTATTTCAGCATCTAATGTTTCATGTATATCTCTCATGTCTCTCCTATTTAGACGTTTAATGCTACTGTGTTTTAGTTTCCTGTGTAGAGGCACATATTTGTAAGTTAAGAGGCGGTGCCTGATTTTAGGAACCTTCGCCAAACCAGAGTGAGCCACTTTTATAACATTTTATCACTGTTGACAAGATG